TTGCCCATCGATCTTGCACAGACGCCTTCAGGAACTTCTGACACCCGACGAGGAAGTGTTCACCCTCACACATGGGGCAAGTCTTCTCTGATCTTGAAACCTTTTCTTTGAAGTCCTTTTCCTTAGTTGAATGCGTTGCTTGTCGATGAGTCCGTCTGAACCCGCTCTTCTCTTCTGTTGATGCATAGGCTCCACACTTGTCTGCTTCTCTGTTCAGGAACTTGGACACCAGTGTTAGGTCGGAGAACTCGCCTTCTTCTGTTGTTTCAATGAAGTCGTACCATCGGAACTTGAGGATCGTAGGCATCTTCTCAATAATTTGTTTCACCATCTCAGGTGAATGCAGGTACTGTGGTTTCTTCAATCCTTTTATTGCCGCTACGCTGTTGCTGATCTGGCTCGCGAAGAGGCATATGTCCCTTGGGTTTTCAGAAATCTTCGGCAATGTTTTGACCTTGTCCAATTTTGCCAGCACCAGTGCATATGGTCTTCCATATCTTCTTCTGAGGGCTTGAATCACTTCCATCGGAGAGGCTTCGGAGTACAGCAGACTCTTGATAGCTTCTCTTGCGTTGCCCTTCAGTGCTCTTCTTAGCCGAGCCATATTCTGGACGTTGTTGAACATCGGTGCTGTATCTTCATAGACAACCTTGAAGGCCATCCACTCGCTGCTGTTGCCGTCGAAGTAGGGTAACTCGTGAATGTAGTTTGGCTGTCCTGCTGGTCCTCGCATGGTAAGAGCTTCCTTCAATGCTGCCGTCAGTGCTTGAATTTTAATCGTAGCTCCTCTCGTTGAGGAGTTCTCTTCAGGCTTCATCTTCTGTGGCTCTTCCAAGGGGTGTGGACCTCGCATCTCTGGTTGAACTTTGTTGCCATCCTCCAGCACAGACGTCTCGATCCAGTTCTGCACCTGTGCTGTTCTGTCTTCCAGGTCTTCATCCACGGAGTCCTCTTCTTCACACTGTGCCATCTCCAATCTGACACGGGCTAGCTTAGTTTCAGCCTGTGCTTGCTTCAACTCCAGGCGTGCCAAGTCTTCCTTTGCTTCTAGCTCGCGTCTTCTGGCCGAGGAACTCGTGGTCTTCGTGGACCTGGCGCGACGACTGACCCCCATCGGTTTCAGGGTCTTGGAGGAGCCTTGAACATCCTTTCCAGGTACATCTTCTTGGCTCTTCCTGGTCATCCTCTGTGCAGCATCTTTGTTGCCTTCCATAGACGCCGCCGTAGTTGCAGTCGTAACCGTAGTCTCCGTCACTGTGGTGCCCTCCGTGGTCGTGGTACCCGAAGAAGTGTTCGATGTAGTTGCAGTTCCCGATGACGCCGACGCTGACGTGACCCCTTCTGATCCCGACGTTCCATCTGTCGCGTCCCTATCTGAAGGACGGGACCCGGGACGTGAGGGGGCATCCTTCTGCGACCTGGTTACCGGCATCTTGAACGCAATCTTCTGTTTCTTCTGAACTTCTTCTAGCAGGGATCCGGCTCGAAGGACCAACTGTTTCGGACGACCAGAACCAGGGTATGTCTAGTACCCGGAGGTCGACCTGGGACAATCTCCCAGACGTTCTTGGCGTACACGGCAGTATGTCCGTTCGCTGGTAAAGTACGCCACCACACACCCCTGAATGCGTAGCTTGGGTCCCGATCCACTAGGGTTTCTTCGTTGACAGGAGACTATATTTAGAGGCGATGAAATAAAAACACAATTTTTCCTTTTTTCTCTCTTGGTTTCGGTTCTTCCTTTTCCTTTTAGTTGTTGCCTCTTCGGTGGCTGTCTTGCGACTGACTCGAATCGATAAATGGCTCGCCTTTTATTTGGCCCGTTAATACCTTACAGAGAGCCGCGTACTTTGAGCTCATTTTTCGAGTAAAATTTCCCTAAACCGAAACCTTGAGAGTCCTTTTATTTTATGTTTTCAGTAAAACACCTTACACATATTTATTTATTTACATGCCTTACATACTATTATACAATATTAAAACATAATATTAAATATATAATAATTAATTAAAAAAGTCTTAAAACAAAAATATCTAAATTTCTAGGTTGCTACATTTTTACTATACATTTTCCCTTATAACTTTTGAACGGATAGTCCTATCGACCTAATTCTTGTTTTATTATAAGTTTTATAATAAAATCTATTATTTAAAACATAAACTATTATGCTATTGCAAGAAACAAAAAATCTCATTTTCAAGTTACGTAATTATATGCTAACATTTTACTTACGTACCTATTCCTTTCAAATTAATGTTAAATAGTCTTATATGATTCAAATAAGCAAAAAATACTCTAAACTAACCTTATTACACTAATTAGAACTTATTTTAACATAATAAATCTAATAAGAATGAGATTTCATATTTACAACATTTATTCATAATACGCTAAAATGACATTGTCCCTATATTAATACACACGTTACTCGAAGATAGGTTTTCCGTCGCCGACATATTATAATCACGTTAAAAAAATATTTTTGTCTAAATTTCGTCTAAAATTGTTTTAAATACATTGTAATTACGTCTAGTATACCTCCCCATACTTTATTTCCCCAATATACACCGGGAAATTGAAAAATCACAATAATACCTAAACCGAGGTTACTTAGGCGATAGAATTCTTCATACATTATTGCATATATAAAAAATTTAAAAATGTCTTTCAATCTGCTTATCATTGCATTGTTTTTACTAAATTAGGTAGTTTTAGCTGTATATCTTCCTATTTCTATAGTCTAAGTATAATTAAGTCTTAAATTAAAAAATTTCATTTATATATTATAATCACGTTAAAAAAATATTTTTGTCTAAATTTCGTCTAAAATTGTTTTAAATACATTGTAATTACGTCTAGTATACCTCCCCATACTTTATTTCCCCAATATACACCGGGAAATTGAAAAATCACAATAATACCTAACCGAGGTTACTTAGGCGATAGAATTCTTCATACATTATTGCATATATAAAAATTTTAAAAATGTCTTTCAATCTGCTTATCATTGCATTGTTTTTACTAAATTAGGTAGTTTTAGCTGTATATCTTCCTATTTCTATAGTCTAAGTATAATTAAGTCTTAAATTAAAAAATTTCATTTATATATTATAATCACGTTAAAAAAATATTTTTGTCTAAATTTCGTCTAAAATTGTTTTAAATACATTGTAATTACGTCTAGTATACCTCCCCATACTTTATTTCCCCAATATACACCGGGAAATTGAAAAATCACAATAATACCTAAACCGAGGTTACTTAGGCGATAGAATTCTTCATACATTATTGCATATATAAAAATTTTAAAAATGTCTTTCAATCTGCATATCATTGCATTGTTTTTACTAAATTAGGTAGTTTTAGCTGTATGTCTTCCTATTTCTATAGTCTAAGTATAATTAAGTCTTAAATTAAAAAAATTCATTTATATATTATAATCACGTTAAAAAAATATTTTTGTCTAAATTTCGTCTAAAATTGTTTTAAATACATTGTAATTACATATAATATGCCTCCCCATACTTTATTTCCCCAATATACACCGGGAAATTGAAAAATCACAATAATACCTAAACCGAGGTTACTTAGGCGATAGAATTCTTCATACATTATTGCATATATAAAAAATTTAAAAATGTCTTTCAATCTGCTTATCATTGCATTGTTTTTACTAAATTAGGTAGTTTTAGCTGTATATCTTCCTATTTCTATAGTCTAAGTATAATTAAGTCTTAAATAAAAAAAAATCATTTATATATTATAATCACGTTAAAAAAATATTTTTGACTAAATTTCGTCTAAAATTGTTTTAAATACATTGTAATTACGTCTAGTATACCTCCCCATACTTTATTTCCCCAATATACACCGGGAAATTGAAAAATCACAATAATACCTAAACCGAGGTTACTTAGGCGATAGAATTCTTCATACATTATTGCATATATAAAAATTTTAAAAATGTCTTTCAATCTGCTTATCATTGCATTGTTTTTACTAAATTAGGTAGTTTTAGCTGTATATCTTCCTATTTCTATAGTCTAAGTATAATTAAGTCTTAAATTAAAAAAAATCATTTATATATTATAATCACGTTAAAAAATATTTTTGTCTAAATTTCGTCTAAAATTGTTTTCAATACATTGTAATTACGTCTAGTATACCTCCCCATACTTTATTTCCCCAATATACACCGGGAAATTGAAAAATCACAATAATACCTAAACCGAGGTTACTTAGGCGATAGAATTCTTCATACATTATTGCAAATATAAAAATTTTAAAAATGTCTTTCAATCTGCTTATCATTGCATTGTTTTTACTAAATTAGGTAGTTTTAGCTGTATATCTTCCTATTTCTATAGTCTAAGTATAATTAAGTCTTAAATTAAAAAATTTCATTTATATATTATAATCACGTTAAAAAAATATTTTTGTCTAAATTTCGTCTAAAATTGTTTTAAATACATTGTAATTACGTCTAGTATACCTCCCCATACTTTATTTCCCCAATATACACCGGGAAATTGAAAAAAAACAGCTTAACGCAACTGATACAGATAACTTAATTAAAGAATTCACCCACATCATTCAAAAAACATGCAATAGAACACTCCAATCCAAACCTAAATACAAAACACGCATTCCGTGGTGGAATGAGGAACTGGAACACCTCAAAAAACACCTCATAAAGCTCGACCATCGAATTTCCGACCTCAAGCGCAGCAATAAGCCAATCGATAATATATTAAGAGAGAGAGAGGAAGCCAAAGCCTCTTACGTGGAAGCCCTGACAAGGGAATCCACGAAGAGCTTCAGGGACTTGTTGTGTATACTATACTTAAATGTTAAGTAGTCTATAGTCTGTATTAGCATTATTGTTTATGGTTCATCTATGTAAGCACATTTTGAGAATAAGCATTGTTGAAAAATACATTACAAAATGGCGACGAGGATTCAAAATTAATAAAAAGAGAAGATACGGAAAATTGGAAAAATGGCAGGAAAAATGTACATTGGAAATGTCGACTATGATGAGAGTGAGAAATTTAGTGATTATATAGAACGCTTTGAGATGTTTCTAGAATGTAATAAGATAGAGGCTGCCCGGTGGAAGGCGGTATTTTTAAGCGTCATTGGCCCAAAATTATTTAGCCTGTTAAAAAACCTGTGCACACCAGTAGCACCAAGGGAAAGGACATATGAAGAATTAAAAAAAAATCTTATGAATCATCTCGAACCAAAACCAAATGTGATCACGGAGAGGTATAAATTTGGCCAGAGATGTCAAATGTCGGGCGAATCAATAAATACATATTTAGCAGAATTAAAAAAGCTATCTCTATATTGTAATTATGGAGAAAATCTAACAGAACAAATAAGAGACAAGTTTATCTCGGGTCTAAATAATGAGAAGATAAAACAAAAACTACTAAATGAGAGTGAAGTTACATTAGAAAAAGCCTACAACATAGCAGTGCAGTTAGAGAACACCGATCGAGATTTAGAGGTGATGACTTCCAAGGTACACAGGATAGGTGTGGCTGGAAAGAAGCGAGGAGGACAACGGAATCATACCTGTGGTCAGCTGCAGCAGAGTGCTAGAAGTAATAATAAGTTATGCAAGTGCTGTGGAAAAGGGGGTCATTTAAAAGAAGTGTGTTGGTTTAAAGATAGGAAATGTAGATCTTGTGGTAAGATTGGACATTTATTGGCAGTTTGTAGATTTAAGAAAGGTAAAAAGCTTTGTAATTATATTGAAAATGAACATAATCAGGACATTGTTTTAGAGGACATACAAAATTTATTTACATTAAGTGATACTCATGTTTCACCTTATAAACTTGAATTACAAATAAATAACAAAAAGGTAATGTTTGAAATAGATACTGGAGCAGCTATAAGTGTTATAAGTCAATACATAAAAAATAAATATTTCAATGATAGTGAAATGTACAAATGTAATCTTAAACTCAGATCATATGTAAATGATTTAATTACTCCCTTAGGTTTTATAAATGTAGACATTGCTTATGATAAAAAGAAAATGAAAGCGAAATTATATGTAATTGAGAATGGGGGACCTTCTCTCATTGGTCGTGACCTTTTAAAAAAATTAAATATTAAAACATTAAATATAAATTCATTAAGTTGTGAAAATATTAAAGATAAATTGGTAAGTAAATTTCCTGAAGTTTTTAGTTCTGAGTTAGGGACATACAAAGGAGAGCAGGTCAACCTAGTACTAAAAGAGAATGTGTCACCTAAGTATTATAAAGCTAGATCCTTACCGTTCAGTATGAAACAATTAGTAGAAGAAGAAATAAATAGGCTGGTGAGTCAAGGTGTATTGACTCCGGTAAAAAGTAGTGAGTGGGCAACACCCATAGTACCAGTTTTAAAAGGTAATGGTAAGTTAAGAGTGTGTGGTGATTTTAAGGTCACAATTAATCAATATTTAGAGGATGACAAGCATCCTATACCAAAAATAGAAGATTTATTTGTTAATTTAAATAAAGGTGAAAAATATTCAAGAGTTGACTTAGCACATGCTTATCAACAATTGATGTTGACAGAGGAGGCGAAAAAGTTAGTTTGCATAAATACACATCTCGGATTATTTCAATATAACAGGTTACCTTTTGGTGTTAAAGTAGCTCCAAATATTTTTCAACACGTTATGGATCATTTATTTATAGGAAGACCAGGTATAGCTGTATTTATGGATGATGTGGTTGTAACTGGGAAAGATGATCAGGAACATTATGAAAATTTATTGTTTGTTTTTGGTAAATTGAAAGAAATGGGTCTTACAGTTAGTGTAGATAAATGTGTATTTTTTGCAGATAGTATACATTATTTAGGGTATATTTTGTCTAAGGACGGGCTACAACCTGATCCTAAGAATGTAGAAGCAATAACTCAAGCTAGGAATCCCACTAATGTCACAGAATTAAAAGCATTTCTTGGTTTAATAAACTATTATATGAAGTTCTTACCAAATGTGTCAACAGTGTTAGCACCACTGTATAATTTATTAAAAAAGGATATTAAATTTATTTGGAACCAAAAATGTAAAGAATCTTTTGAAAGTATAAAAAAAATGATGATATCTACTCACATTTTATCTCATTATGATCCAACACAAGATTTATATTTAGCTTGTGATGCTAGTGCATATGGAGTAGGTGCTGTTTTATCTCAGAAAAAGTGTGGCGTTGAAAAACCTATTGCATTTATGTCTAGGACATTAAATGAGGCAGAGAAAAGATATAGCCAAATAGACAAGGAAGCTTTAGCATTGATATTTGGTGTTACTAAATTTAATAAATATTTATGGGGTAGAAAATTTACCTTGATTACAGATTCTAAGCCTTTATTGAGCATCTTTGGTCCTAAAAAAGGCATACCTACCATAGCAGCTAGTAGACTTCAGCGATATGCATTGTTGTTGTCTGGTTACAATTATAATATTATTTATGTGAAATCAGAGCATAATAATGCAGATGCATTATCTAGGTTACCATTAGAAAGAATTGAAAGTAAAAATGTATCAGAATATTCATATTTAAATTTTTTGAAAGATAATGTAAGCTTACCTATTGATTGTAATTTAATTAAGAAAGAAACTTTATTAGATCCAGTGCTAAAACTTGTGTTAAACTATATAGAACAAGGGTGGCCAAATTATATTAGTGATATTAACTTAAAACCTTACTTTATTAAGAGAGAGCAATTGTCAGTGGAGCATGGAATCATTATGTATGGATATAGAGTTGTAATACCTAACAAGTTAATTGCAACTATTTTACAAGAGCTTCACTCTACACATTTAGGTATTGTTAAAATGAAATCAATAGCCAGGAGTTATTTCTGGTGGCCTTCTATTGATAATGATGTACAGTTAATGGCAAATAGTTGTACTACTTGTATATTGGAAAGGCCTAATCCACATAAAGTGAAATTACATGTGTGGAACTATCCTGAAAACCCATGGTCACGATTACATGTAGATTACTTAGGTCCTATACATGGAAAGTATTATTTTGTATTAGAGTGTGCTTATACAAAGTGGATTGAAGTGGAGGAAGTTAGTTCAACCTCAGCAAGTCAAGTTATTAAAATTTTAAAAAGACTATTTACTACTTTTGGTTTTCCAGACTTAATATACAGTGACAATGGACCTCCATTCCATTCCATGGAATTTACATCATTTCTTAAAAATTATAAATTAGAATATATAGAATAAAATTATTAATTAAAAAAATGTATTAAAAAAGCATTTTATGAAAAGAAAAATGTAAATGATTGTATTAATTCATTTTTGTTAACATATAGAAATTGTAAGCATATGACTACGGGAGAAAGCCCAGCATACTTGATGTTTAAGCGAAACTTAAAGACAAAATTTGATTTATTAAGACCTAATGTAAAAAAACATGTTCAGTATAAGCAGGAATTACAAAAGAAATATGCAGGGGGTAGCAGAGTAAGAGAGTTAGAAATAGGGAAAAGTGTTTTAGCTAGAGATTATAGAAGTAATAGTAATAAGTGGATGGAAGGAATAGTATGTAAAAAACTTGGTCCAGTTACATATTTAATTAAATTGTTAAATACAAATATTATTTGGAAAAGACATATTAATCAGATTTTGGATAATCAAATAAACAGTAATTTAGATGATGATACTTTTGATACCGAGTTAGCGTTTAAAGATAAAGAATATCCAAGTGTATGTAATGAGACAAGTTCAAGTGTAATTATAAAGTCACCTAATACTGTGTGTAGTAATTCTGTTGTACGGAAAAGTGAGATTTTGCCTTCTGTTGATAAAAATGTGTCAAATGGGTCTCAGTTAAAGGAAATAGTTAGTTCTCCACAAAAGACAGAATCTTCACCACTTGTTTTAAAGAGATCTGTTAGAATTAGAAAGAAACCAGACAGACTTAATTTATAGATAGTGCTGAAGAAAAAGAATGTAAAATTTAGTGTAGAATTCATAGTGGGAGAGTGTTGTGTATACTATACTTAAATGTTAAGTAGTCTATAGTCTGTATTAGCATTATTGTTTATGGTTCATCTATGTAAGCACATTTTGAGAATAAGCATTGTTGAAAAATACATTACAGGACTTTTGCGAGATGCAGGACAAGGAGAACGTTTGGTCCCTGACAAACCGCCTCCTCCAGCGCACTTCGCGCTTCACCCGAGCGAACACGTCACTATAGGTTAGGCGCTCTGTCGCTTCTGGCTGTAGCCTAATGACCACCGCCGCAGATCTCGGTGGGCGCAGCTTGGGCAGCTTGGACTTTTGTGTCCTTTGCTCCGACATCTTTTTCTTGGCCCTTTCCTTCTTTTTAGAGCCCTTCTTTACCACAACGCTCCACTCCTCCGACAGATTGGCCGGAGCAGGTTGCAAAGGACGCGGATCCTGTGGTGCGGCTTGCAGGGACGCACTTGCCTTCTTCTTCTTCCCCTTGGGCTTCTTCTTTTTCCTTTCCTCTATTGTAGGATTTATTTGCGCTGCCAAGGGGGCGGTTGCAGTTCTCGTCTCATCCCGCGAGGGGTGAGCACGTTGCTCCAGCAGGAACCGATCTTCAAATGCCTTCAAACGCACATTCAGCATAGTTCCGACTTGGACCATTATAGCTTGCGCTATCTCCTCCGTACTCCGAGCTGAAACAGTGGGAGGTGGTTGAGGTAGTGGCGCTGCTCGTGATTTTTCGTGCTCCAATCTCATTGCTGCCACTTCACTCCTCAGCCCAGTCAACTCCGTTAGCAGCTTTTCATTATTTGCCCGGAGCTCTGTTATCTCCTCTGTTGCAGTGCGCTGTTCAAGAGTCTCCACGGCGCCTGCAATTGTACTGGCCGCATCTTTGAGGGCCTTCACAAAACCGCCCTTCAAGTTGCCGGATTTTGTTGCAACCATCTCAATCACCTCCAGGCTATTTTGGACCATCTCTTGCAGCTTTGTTACTAGTTCGGTCTCTTTATTAGCTCCAGTCGCCTTAGCTGGTAAACGGGGACTGGTTCTGGCCTTGAGTGCCGACACCTTCTCTGCTACCTCCTTTTGGGCTCTGAGTCTGAGCTCTTCCCTTCTAGCCTCGTTGAGGGCTCGCTGAGCTTCCGCCAATCCCACATATTGGCCTGTGGTGGGTGGCCGCCCCCTTGCGCGATTAACCGCAGTTTTCTCATCAGGCCTCTTGTCGTCTTCAGGTGATCCTTACGAACTTCGGTAGCCTTGGGCTGCTATACCTTTACTGAGCACGCTGCCAACACCCTTCGTTGACCTGGTTCTAACTCCGCCAGTCTCTGGCACTACACTAACACCGCCCGTCACGGGCCTCCTCAAAACTCCACCCTTCTCGGGCAACACTCCGTCTCTCCTTCTCTGCATCTCTCCGCCCTTCCCGGGCTCCACTCCGACATCACAATGACCGCAATTGTCCGCCCCAGAATTCTCGGGACAGCACGCCGTAGCGTGGAGGGATTCCTCAGTGCTTGCACTGATACCCTCCTGGGCCAAAAGTCAAAACATGTATTGCAAGAATCAAAGTCCGGTAGTCAAATCCAATCGATAAATATCCAAAACACTCAACAAGAAACCAGTAATCGCAAGATCTTAGGTCGATAACCTTTTTTTTTTTTATAGTTGGGAAATCCTATTACGGATACCACCCGACTTCCCCCCCAGGGTGGTTATGTGGAGACTCTCCGGCTAATGAGACCGGCATACCCACTAAAACCCAACTTTCCCCACAGCCGCCATGTGGGACGCCACGGGACCGCTTTCGCATACAACCGTGACGCCCCGACGGTTGGCCGAAGCCACCAACCATGAGGCCGCCCCAAGCGGGACGACCCCATTATGGGAAGACTTGTCGTCGTTGTGTAAATTGATATACATGAAGTAATAATATCTAATAACTCATTGGAATATTTTTCGCCAAACCTAACCCAAACCAAAAAAAAAACAATATATATATAATCGATCGTCGTTGTGTAAATTGATATACATGAAGTAATAATATCTAATAACTCATTGGAATATTTTTCGCCAAACCTAACCCAAACCAAAAAAAAAAACAATATATATATATAATCGATCGTCGTTGTGTAAATTGATATACATGAAGTAATAATATCTAATAACTCATTGGAATATTTTTCGCCAAACCTAACCCAAACCAAAAAAAAAAAACAATATATATATAATCGATCGTCGTTGTGTAAATTGATATACATGAAGTAATAATATCTAATAACTCATTGGAATATTTTTCGCCAAACCTAACCCAAACCAAAAAAAAAAAACAATATATATATATAATCGATCGTCGTTGTGTAAATTGATATACATGAAGTAATAATATCTAACAACTCATTGGAATATTTTTCGCCAAACCTAACCCAAACCAAAAAAAAAAAAGAATATATATATAATCGATCGTCGTTGTGTAAATTGATATACATGAAGTAATAATATCTAATAACTCATTGGAATATTTTTCGCCAAACCTAACCCAAACCAAAAAAAAAAACAATATATATATAATCGATCGTCGTTGTGTAAATTGATATACATGAAGTAATAATATCTAATAACTCATTGGAATATTTTTCGCCAAACCTAACCCAAACCAAAAAAAAAACAATATATATATAATCGATCGTCGTTGTGTAAATTGATATACATGAAGTAATAATATCTAATAACTCATTGGAATATTTTTCGCCAAACCTAACACAAACCAAAAAAAAAACAATATATATATAATCGATCGTCGTTGTGTAAATTGATATACGTGAAGTAATAATATCTAATAACTCATTGGAATATTTTTCGCCAAACTAAACCCAAACCAAAAAAAAACAATATATATATAATCGATCGTCGTTGTGTAAATTGATATACATGAAGTAATAATATCTAATAACTCATTGGAATATTTTTCGCCAAACCTAACCCAAACCAAAAAAAAAAACAATATATATATAATCGATCGTCGTTGTGTACATTGATATACATAAAGTAATAATATCTAATAACTCATTGGAATATTTTTCGCCAAACCTAACCCAAACCAAAAAAAAAACAATATATATATAATCGATCGTCGTTGTGCAAATTGATATACATGAAGTAATAATATCTAATAACTCATTGGATTATTTTTCAGCAAACCTAACCCAAACCAAAAAAAAAAAACAATATATATATAATCGATCGTCGTTGTGTAAATTGATATACATGAAGTAATAATATCTAATAACTCATTGGAATATTTTTCGCCAAACCTAACCCAAACCAAAAAAAAAAACAATATATATATAATCGATCGTCGCTGTGTAAATTGATATACATGAAGTAATAATATCTAATAACTCATTGGAATTTTTTTCGCCAAACCTAACCCAAACCAAAAAAAAAACAATATATATATAATCGATCGTCGTTGTGTAAATTGATATACATGAAGTAATAATATCTAATAACTCATTGGAATATTTTTCGCCAAATCTAACCCAAACCAAAAAAAAAACAATATATATATAATCGATCGTCGCTGTGTAAATTGATATACATGAAGTAATAATATCTAATAACTCATTGGAATATTTTTCGCCAAACCTAACCCAAACCAAAAAAAAAAAACAATATATATATAATCGATCGTCGTTGTGTAAATTGATATACATGAAGTAATAATATCTAATAACTCATTGGAATATTTTTCGCCAAACCTAACCCAAACCAAAAAAAAAAACAATATATATATAATCGATCGTCGTTGTGTAAATTGATATACATGAAGTAATAATATCTAATAACTCATTGGAATATTTTTCGCCAAACCTAACCCAAACCAAAAAAAAAAACAATATATATATAATCGATCGTCGTTGTGCAAATTGATATACATGAAGTAATAATATCTAATAACTCATTGGAATATTTTTCGCCAAACCTAACCCAAACCAAAAAAAAAAACAATATATATAATCGATCGTCGTTGTGTAAATTGATATACATGAAGTAATAATATCTAATAACTCATTGGAATATTTTTCGCCAAACCTAACCCAAACCAAAAAAAAAACAATATATATATATCGAAGCTGCATTAATTTTCTCTATTATTTTCCATTATTTTATCATGAATTATATAGTGGGCGTTATATGGGAAGTGTTGGTTCAAATGAAAGTCGATGCAATCACAGTTGTATTTCAAATTAACAATAATCACTTTGTACAAAGTTAAACAGCACTTCACTACACAACCATATACCACTTCACTATTACCACGTATAGACAATACGGAACGCAAGACAGTTCCTAGTGGAGCGGTCCTAAGCTTGGCTCGGCTCGAAGGCAAGTGTCCAGCCCTCTTAGCACCCCTCCTTTAGCTAGGCTCCGTCGTAGCACGAAGCTCGCCGAGTGTTGGCGATAATACCGAAGGTGCTGCTATCACTCAGGCGTCGTGCCGCGCTTCGTTTAGCGACCGTATTGATGACCGTCTCCGACATATATATAATCGATCGTCGTTGTGTAAATTGATATACATGAAGTAATAATATCTAATAACTCATTGGAATATTTTTCGCCAAACCTAACCCAAACCAAAAAAAAAACAATATATATAATCGATCGTCGTTGTGTAAATTGATATACATGAAGTAATAATATCTAATAACTCATTGGAATATTTTTCGCCAAACCTAACCCAAACCAAAAAAAAAACAATATATATATAATCGATCGTCGTTGTGTAAATTGATATACATGAAGTAATAATATCTAATAACTCATTGGAATATTTTTCGCCAAACCTAACCCAAACCAAAAAAAAAACAATATATATATAATCGATCGTCGTTGTGTAAATTGATATACATGAAGTAATAATATCTAATAACTCATTGGAATATTTTTCGCCAAACCTTACCCAAACC